ATGTAGTGTTGTACAAATGTGTCTTACTCTTTTTGGCTATTTTTTCCTTCCGTTCACAATTTAACATAAGTTTATCGATTCTGTATCTAAACCAAGATCCATTAATCCTTCACTAAAGCATTGGTGTTTTTTTTTTCTAATAATAACATAATTATGTCAATTATTATTAATTTATTTTTTATAGATAACTTGCCGCCTAATCTCGTATGTCCTAGTGATGTGAATGTATGTAATGATGACGGTCTTAATAACGCCAGCGTTACTTGGAAGCCAGCCAATGTTACTGACAACTGTTGTGAGAATGTTGTAGCAGATGCAAACTATACCAATGGATATTCCTTTGAAATTGGTACTACTGTGGTGGAGTACTCATCAAGTGACTGTGACAATCTCATGACTACCTGTCAGTTCAGTGTGGTTGTCAGAGGTGCGTATGATGCCCTTTGTGTATTTGATACTTCACTAGTTTATGGCATAGTATACCTACATAAAGATATGAATTTGCGTCAGGAAAATATCATAGGAGTGATGTTTTGGCCTACGTGACTTGTTATTGTACCCGCTGCTACTAAGGGTTCGTATTCATCACAGTCATCAAACGCAAGCTCAGTGGTCTAGTGATTAAGACTTCAGGCTACCTGGAGGTCGTGGGTTTGATTCCCACCCGAATCACTTGCGAATTTTTGATCGCTAGTATTTGGGACGTACTGAGTATTCAGTACGATAACATGTCAGGTAGGGGAAAACATCACTGCTGTACCTACATATTTTTCAATCTAACTTTGTCAGTATAGACAATATTTCAATATTTAAAAATTGTACTATTCAGCTTTTTTACCAGATTTAATCGAATAATACGAAAAAAGTTACTCTGATCCACTGAGTATAAATTGGTTTTAATGATAGATTAATGCAAACTAGCTTTTTTTCATTACCGAATGATTGATTGCACAAGATGCATTTACAAACGTTTTAGGATAGCAAACGCTATCAGTGTTTAATTTTCTCAATAATTTTTATTTCTATATTATATAGATACTAGTAGGAAAGTGGTAAATCGATTGCTTTGTTGTTTCAAGAAGTGTTTGTCCATTTTCTAGTGTACCTATATACAGTACATGTGTTATATAATTGTTTTATACACTTTTAGATTGTGACGCCCCTGATTTGACTTGCCCGGATGATTTGGCTCCCTTTGACGCTGATGATAGCTGTCAGGCAAATGTCACCTGGGATGCAGTAACAGCAGACGATAACTACGACAGTGTTGTAGATGTTGACTGTGATTTGAGTCCTGGTACTTTTTCTTTAGGAAATTACACTGTGCAGTGCAGTGCTTCAGATTTGGCAGGCAATACAGGCAACTGTTCTTTCAATTTCTACATCCTTGGTATGTAACAAACACAAGATTTTTTATGTACAGAAAACAGCAAAGAGAATTATTAAAGCTGATTTAGATGGTATTAATGATATGTATAACCAGACAGTCCTACGTAAATTAGATGAAGCTTCACATCCTTTAAACTCGTTAGACTCAAACTTAATCTTTTGTGTATGACTCTATTTTCGCATTTAATAGCAACTTTAGCAGATAGACATCATGCCTATATTTTATATCAAACCTGCCATATTTTCTTGGTGTTAAGTCTCAATTTGCAATATCTGGTTACACAGTATTTGTGCAATAATTGATCTTTCTTTTTAGATTTTCTGGTTCTATAGTTTAAACTAATTTTTATCATGTTATATTTATTAATCCATTATATTAGCTGCTGGACACAAATGTTGACTGTATCTCATTGTAGTGTCAACAATAAATTTTTCTTGATTCCTTCCTTGATTTCTTGTTTTAGGTTTCTCATTCTACTTGGGATTAGAACTGTATTTAAATGAATTTTTTTTTTAAATAATGGGATTTGTAAATATTTGCTTATAATTAAACGTTCATATTGATTAAAAAAAAAAACTATAGTTGGCCTAATTTAAACTGGTTAAATACTTCAATATCCTGCTCATTTCCAAAAGTAGTAGTTATTATTCGTGTCTATTTTTATGAATTTCGTTTGCACATGTGAATTGATAATGGATTTGTTCTTACAACTAATATTGTATTTATCCTTTAAAGATACTGTTGCACCAGGAATAATATGTCCATCCAATGTGACGATTTGTGCCGAATCAGGAATGTCTTCTGCCATAGCTTATTGGGACTTACCAACTACTTTTGATAACTGCTGTGATGTTAGCGCCATACCTGATATAGACAATGGCACAACATTTGGGATGGGACCTAACACGGTGACTTACACAGCTGTTGATTGCAATTCTAATGGTGCCCAATGCACATTCATTATTACTGTAGAAGGTAAAATGATTTTCTGTTTTTATTTTCAAAATAGATACAATATTGATGATAATAACAGTAAAGATTATAATAATGATAATGATGGTGATGTTAATGATGGTGATAATGATGATTGTGAGGCTATCTGTAATGATAGTGCTTGAGCATTACTGTGATGTAACAGGGTGCACATTGCAATGTAAAAATGGGTTAGTTTAATAAAACGAAAGAAAGGTTCGCTGTATTCATATTGAGATAAATGGTGGGAACATGTGTCATTGGTTTAATTGCCTTAATGCCTGGAGTCACACTTCACATATGCATCTTGGTAATATTATTTTATGATCAGTGTCTTAAGTAATTTATTTGTGTGTAGCTGAGAAGGATTTTTTGGGTTCAGTTGGGTTATATGCAACTATAGAGGTTTGTATTAAACAACACATTACATTATGCCAAAACATTATTACATGCCATTGGGAAAATATTTCGATATGGTATCTAATGTTAATAATAATTTCAGATTGTGAACCACCAATGATCATGTGCCCAGACAATGTTACAATTGATGCCAATGATAACTGCACTGCTGTTGGTAACTGGTCCATGCCAACAGCTACAGACATAGCAGTGGGACAAACTGATGTTGTATGCAGTCATCAGGCTTTGATTAGCGAGTTTGAAGGTGGAAGTACCAAAGTAATGTGTAATGCAACTGATGGTGAAGGAAACACTGGTTCTTGTTCTTTCTATGTGGATGTTGTTGGTAAGACTACTTGATTAAAAAAAAACATGATATAAGCACATCTTTCAGTGGATTTAGCAATATTAGGAATCTACGCATACAAGTGATGATTTTTTGTTTTTAATTATCTTGTTCACAGACACTAGCTATACACCATCTTGTAAACATGATTTTTTTGTTGATGTATTATAAAGTACATGGTAGAAAGAAAGTAGGTAATTTTAGGAAGGTTATTAGATGTGTAGACAGCTATGTATAACTAAATAATAATCAGCTTTATATTATAATGTATATTTCTTTCTCTTCTTTATAATGTCTATTTTGCAGATACAACGGCACCTGAAATAACATGTCCATTAGATAGCACTATTTGTGCTGAGCC